CTTGTTACTACTAGCGATGCACTTGTTTCTAATAGCTTCTTGTTACTTTACTAGTAAGGCACTTGTTACTACTAGCGATGCACTTGTTCCTACAACAGATAAGCGGCACTCTTGGAGTATTTTCGTTGGAAAAGTGGGACCGGGATACGCGCACACACCAATGGACCAAGAACATGATGTTGACAAGAGGCAAAAAGATCTGGCTTATGATAAAACAAGGAACACTGGAGCAGGGAAAAGCATTCCTGATTCCCAAATGGGGCAGGTTCTAATGGTATTCTCATGTTTCAGCATTGATGCCGGCTCCAACTCCACCAGCAAAGGTTACAAACACTTATAGACACCCACGCACCGGAATGCACAAAACACACACAAACGGCCAACCGTTGTTCGACAAACATCACTTGCTTGAGACTCTTCGAAGACAGTCTTGTAAACCACTCTTGTGGGACACTCTTCTAGCACATACTCTTGTGACTCTTCTCTGGGACACTCTTGTTTGTGCGGCAGTGCTCCAAAGGCAAAGCTTCAGACCCGCCGTGTGGACCCGCTCGATAGCTTAGCACTGCAGGCATTGTCCCAAGCGCCTGCAGGCCTTTGCCCCTTGCCAAAAGGAGAATCCAGTATCACTCTTCCTTTTTGTTCAGCGGACTTGGATCTTCTTTGGAAGATCTGCAGGGAGAAGCGTTGGGACTTCCATGAGCAGGATCTGCCTCAGTTGAAGGTGGACCTGCAGTTATCCAGAAGTCCTTGGGGAACAGCAGGTCGGGGCCAAACGACTTCAATGCGCCAATGCGCGCTTTTCACGGCCCTGAAGCTCCTCCGGCCCAGATTGACGCTGGCCAAGTTGAGGGTGAAGGGAGTGAACTAGTAGCGTCCGAACGCTCCTAGTAGTAAGGCCAGGAGCCCCGTTCTTAGCGCTGGGGCATTAGAATGGGCGTCTGAGGTCCCTGAGGTTTCAGGGTCAAGAACCTAGCAGTCGTGGGGCGCCTTGAGCAAACAGTTGCAAGGCTCAGATTGATTGAGATCGATGAGAGCGCCCTACAAGAGTGTCAAGCAATGTCAAACGTCCAACAAAGGCGAGCAAGAAGACGCTTGAGCCTCAGAAACCATCTCATTACCCACTCACCATCTCATAGACCAGGCTGTCTCCGAGGCTGAGACATCAGGGACCTTGAGATCTGGACGATGAACCGCCCTCCTTGAGCGTCAGAGCTGTTGCTTGCTATGCAAGGTCTGTCATTGTCGGAGGCTTTTGCAGCCTGCTATGCGCGTTTAGGTCTTGGTCGGTGCTCATCAACGAGAAACCGCAGAGGACATCAAAGCAATCGTGTCAAAGAAAGAGATGTCCCAACCATTTCTTATCTTTTGTCCTCGAACATCTCAATGGGATCAGGGAATCCCAAGCGGACAACTTGGGAAGGAGTGTCGTCTGCGCGCAGGTGCGAGAATGTTGCTTTGCCGTGCGGATTTGTCGACGGCGAAAGGCATTGGCCAGATTGGACCGGTCTCGCAGGGAAGCGAGGAATGAAGTTGCCTAATATGCAAATGAAATCAAATATCCTATAGACTGCAAAAATCACATTGAGCAACGGTAAGGTTTCTTGGTACAAGTGTTTTTTTAAAGGATGTTTTCATTTTCCAGCACTTTCAGAGAAACCTGGTCTCCCAACTCGTTTTCCTTTGGCCGTAAGGGCTTGCAGCGCTCCCAGATCCCAAACGCTGTACTTCCAAAGCTGTGCAGATCCCCCAATCTGCACACTTTCCCTATCTCCGAGGTCTCACCCGCCAAAAAGTGAAAAAAAAATGCCTTTTGGCACATTACTTACCTGGAGACTCACCCGGAGGTATGCCGAGGTGCTTGTGCTGCAGCTCTGGTGGCCGAACCAGCACCAGTAATGCCGCCTCCCACGTTCGGGGAGAAAAGCGTGCGGCGTGCGCTGTCGACCCAGCAGAGGGGAAGGGAACGGCACAGGTCATAGAGGCTGGCGAGACTGAATGAAGCATGTACAAAGGGGTTTACTTCCTACTTTGAACTACTTGAAATTATGTTGACACCACCATGAAAACAGAGTTGGAGAGGAAAGTGCCAAAGTAAAGGCCGAAAAGAGTCAGAAGTGTGCTGGGCATCATCTGTGCCAAAAGAGACATGTGCAGCAACTAGCCTTTAACTTCGGTGCAAGTCACATGAAGTCACCGATGAGGTCACCAAAAAACAACAAACACACATATTTAGATGGGTTTGCAGTTAACTCTGTTCCACGCGGAAAGGAATGAGGGAAACGCAAGGTGAAGCGGTCAGTGCAACTGAATTGTTGAACACTTTGCGAGAAAGGGGTTTAGGGGAAGTATCATGCAAGAACCATAGAATCAAAAAATCGGGAACTGGACAGCGTGGCCAAAAGTTCCGGTTGCAGGTGCACGAATGGGCGTCTCCATTTGCTTCCCCCCCAGCGACTTATCTTCGTTGGACAAGGTTCATCGCTGGAGGCCTTGCCCCCCTGCATTCAAGATTGAGAAACCAAACTCTTGGGGACAGAGTGTGACACACACAAGGTGCCGACCCCGGCGCATGGAGTAGGTTGCAGTCTTTTTGTCCTTAGTCAATTGCTGCGTGTCCCTTTTGGACATAAAGGTTGACGAGCTGGTCGGCCGCAGCATCCGCCGTGGTTGAACCGGAAAGGCACGGTCGCAAACATATATCCGTAGACCCGGCGGTATGGAAGTTCCGTAGACTCGGCAGTGTTGTGTCAGGAATTTCATTGGGTGAAACATTCAATTCAGAAAAGATAATCCAACGCGTGCAGAAAAACGCTGAATCAGTTACACGGCAGTCCGGAAGGGTCTCAGCGCCCCAGTGACAGGGATCACACTCTGCACCCAGTGGGACGACAGAGCGGCACACACTTAGATAATGGTTTGCAGTTAACTCTGTTCCACGCGAAAAGGAATGAGGGAAACGCAAGGTGAAGCGGTCAGTGCAACTGAATTGTTGAACAGTGTGTTCACTTGTCTGCAGAAAACGGCAGTGGCAAACGTCAGCACTGCTCAGCTGCGAGAAAGGGGTTTAGGGGAAGTATCGTGCAAGAACCATAGAATCAAAAATTGAGAATTGGACAGCGTGGTCAAAAGTTCCGGTTGCAGGTGCACGAATGGACGTCTCCATTCGCGTCCCCTCCAGCGACTTACAGTCGTTGGACAAGGTTCATCGCTGGAGGCCTTGCCCCCCTGCATTCAAGATTGAGAAACCAAACTCCTGGGGACAGAGTGTGACACACACACAAACAAGCAAACAAACAAACAAACAAGAAAACAAACATACCTCTTCAATAGCAACCACACTACCAGCTGAGCGTCCATGTAAACAAACATATTAGGGTGGAGGCCATCGGTACTAGGGTGGAGGCCATTCAAAAATATTAAAAACAGTGGACACCTTCGCGACCACCCGAGTTGGCCCCCAGCACCGCGCCTTTGGACATGCGTGGTACAGCAACGCTGGCGCCTCGAGACGGCCAAAGGCAAAGTCTCTCAGTGGGGGGCCGGTCTGGACCGTAGTGGCCTCCAACCTAATAGCAATGGCCTCCAACCAGATGAAAACAAAAACATCCCACCGGAAAGCAATCATTTGCAAGACAGGAAACAAACACACTCCTGGCGCCAACTTGTTTTCTGACATCGACATCAACCCCCATATTCTTAGGTTTCGTCCGAACGGAGACCGACGCGAGGCGGAAGGATGCCATGTCGATATGATTCGGTGTGCCTGTCACTTCGTTGATCATTTTGATCATCTTGGTGTGTATTTTTTGGAGAGCCCTCACAAACCTTGGGCAAGATTGCAAGTTGTTTCAAAACAAGCAAAACTGCAAGAAATCCACTAAAATATTGCAGTTAAGGCAGTGATTTCCAATTTGATGCAGAAAACCTAGGAATCCCTCAATGGAGACATCCTCGTGACTGTTGCCTAATCCTCATTGGCCTAGTCTTTGCCACGTGGTCTTGATGGTCAAACCAACACCCTACCCCTGCAGGGCCTTTCGAAAACGATTTGGACCAAACTGCGGTCGCTTCAGTGTACCGCACCCCAAACCGTATCCATCGGCACCGGGTTTCTGACCAACAAACGTGGCAGAAAAAACAAAAACAAACTCTTTGGAGCAGAAGGCGCAAGTGACCAATAGGAACCATAACCCACCAATAGTTTTCTTCAAACAATTTTTTGACCTGATGCTTGAATGCGGCTGAGGCCAAACACCGCTGGGGCAGTGAGGTGGGAGGCGCAAGCGTCAAAGACTAACGGACGCTCCTGCACGAAGCCGACGAACAAACTCCACCATTGAACGAGCAGACAATTTCCCGTCAGCTGGTGGGAACTTGAAGCCTCTTGGAGTCTTGAGCACCACCCCGAACAAAATCATTTGGAGACATAAGTCTATGACCATGACAAGAGCCAGGAGGAATTCCCCACTTCCAAGCCGCAGCTTGCTAGGCATGTCACCAGCATGGTGGTGAGTCGCCCCGGTCTTGCTGTGTTGATGGGGGCTGGACACCAAGACCCAAATTTCCGCTTGGAAGCAAAGGAGCACCAAGTACAGACCTTTTCATCGATGTCAGCAGTCTACAAAAACCACATGATTTGGAAGCAGCCGATTGCAGCCACTTGTCGACGATGCGTTTGAAGCACTGTTGCATATTCAAGTCCTCTTGGCTATGCAAGTTGCTGCGCCCAGAAAGTGTGGTTCTTAAGTTCTCGAGCAGCCGCCGAGGAGCTTGCGTTCATGTTCGGAGAGACAGCTATGCTCGGGGCTAATGTCGGCCTGACACATCGAGAACCCATGCCCCCAGCTGGGCTGACTTAGGCGCTGTTGCAGAAAGAACAACGGCAAAACCACAGCCGCAGCGCCAAGACAAAAAACACTGGCATGGCAACTAGACTTCCATGTGTTGGAACTCAAGTCACCGTCATGCTGCGAAAACACATGCGCAAGATGTTGTAAAACTTGTCAAAGCCGTCCTAAATACTCGACCCAGCTATAAAAAGAGTAGAAGCTGAACATTGAAGGGGGTCAAAGACAACCCCCACTGTTGGCCTACGGCAGGAACCAGTGGGAGAGCAGGCCAGCAAGAAAAGGAGGCTTGCAATTTAGAATTGTACCGGCCAAGAGCACACCTTTGAAGGGAACCTTCCCGATATTCTCTTCCACTGGGGAGCTGGTCATTCTGCCTACCTGCACCATGAACTCGAGAAAGGTGCTGGGCGCGAGGAGAGTTTTTGCAAACTTCAAAAAAACGGGGGGAAGGCCGCACCAAGTGAGTTTAGTGCGACTTCCAGTGGAGGTTGGTACCGCAGAGCAGGGACCAACGTATGAAGACCAGGATTGCGAGGCCTCAAGTCCCAAAAGAAAATACGAACTTAAGTCAATATTTTCAAAATTAAACCTTCATTCGTTCATCCTTGTTAATTTACCGCTAAGTCTAACTGAAGTCTAATCAACTTAGGTAATTTTTAATGCTCAATTTCGCTTGATACCTGGGGGTCCAAATTTCAGGGGTTGGAGTTCAAACCGGTTCAAACCAGTTCCACCCATCGGTTTGGCCGACCGCGAACGACCGTGTTCACGGAGTGGGAGTGGAGCGAACGGCGACTGCTCAACGGCGCCACGTGGCGCGGGTGCTAAGCAATGCTCAGCAGCTTCACGGGCGCGAAGAAACAACCATCCCCCTTCCCAGTTCTTGCACGACCCTTGAAGAAACACCGAGAATTAATCCGTGGCTTACTATTGGTAATGCGAACACTATCTGGGAGACATGCTTTTGAGGATCTAGTTTTGACACGCTGATTCGTAGCCCCCAAAAGACGTGCTTTGTCCAATTGAGGACAGCAAGTGGTGGGCAAGATCAAAACCTTTGTGGAACATCATAATTCAGAAGTTCTTGGGCCAAGCCCTGGTGGACCGTGACCAGTTCACATTGGAAGTCCTTTATTCCAGTGGACTTCATGGTTGGCCAAGAACATGTGTCTTTTCAAAACATAGAAGAGTCGTCTAAGAACAAGCACGCTACTAGTAGCTCCTGGCCTTACTACTAGAAACAAGGGCGCGGGCTCCTGGCCTTACCAATAGAAACAAGGACGCTACTAGGCGCTCCTGGCCTTACTACTAGGAAC